GATCACGGGCTCACGAGATATCCGCAATTCGCCAAATTACCCTTATTCGCCAAATTACCCCTGTCTACCTTATATATACATATGTCAATTATTATTTTAATTGATGGAAATTTGAAAGTGGTTTCAACCGTACGTACGACCAAAATTTAGTATAATTTTCGTACGTCCATCTTAATCTATACTGCCATACAGTACTACTTTATTGAATACCTCTTTTTGATAATAATGTCATATAGTGGAAACATTAATGTCTCCAAGTATTCGTATGTCATTTGTTCTCCACATGCAAGATAGTACGCACCGATGTAAGCTTCAAAAGCATCTCCGTGATACTTTTTTACTTGTTCGAATTCCATATCATTAAGCCTATTGCAGACCTAGCGTTATGGCGTAGCCTGCCAAGATTTTATTGGTAGCCATAACCATAATGCTCCCTCAATTTTTTTTACCGAATAAGTGGAAAGATATCGGCTTTGGCTATTTTAAAAAGACAGTGCTCGAGTGCACTGTCTCCTAGATATTCCAGAGCCTCCCATTGGGGCCTATGTGATGAGTAACCAACTGCCATTTCTTCAAAAATCGGTGCAAGGTCCACTCGTAATGTTGATACTTTGGCTTTTTCATCTTTCTCCTGAAATAAAGTGGTTAAAATAATGGCATGTAAAATATCAATTTTTTGTTAAAAAAAAAAAAAAACCGCGTATAATCACCTATTTCTCATGTCGTCTTTTTGTTCTGGGAACATCACTTACAGATTTTCGGTCGTTTAGCAAACCTACGACCACTTCCAAAACCTCTCTAACGCTTTCTTTCAACTCAGCGGGACCTACTTCTTTCGTAAGCGTTATACTGTATTTGGTCTGTGAGGCGAATTAGTGGAGTTTTGCCAAACTAATCATGAGCCCTTTTAAAACCCTCTCTTTCATTTTGGATAAAATTTCTTTTTTCACTGATAATCCATTTTTAAGGGTTTAGGGATTTTTCGATTTTAGAAATCATAAGTGGTGTCCTTTAGATATGAAATGTAGCAAAATTAATAGAGAGCCGGATTTATATTCTAAAAAATTTCGCTAGTCAATCAAATTTCAAGATCAGGTGTAACGTAGCATGACCCATGACCAGAACGTTTTGCTTACAATTTCTTGCAAAATTTCCCTAACCCAACTTTAGGCGATTTACCTTTTCCTATATGAAATTATTAATGTTGTACGTACGCAGAAATCATGAAAATAGGGGTGTTCGACGCATTATCCTACTATATGAATGTTTGAATAGACAATTTTTGTGAAACGATCAGATTATCTATCGGCTATAGTACGTACAGTACGTACAAACGTATGGCACAGGGCAAATATTGTGTGGGTATGTGATCAAAATCACGGTTTTAGTGCACCCCTCTAATACGTTAGAAAAATATAATATCGAAATTGATTACAAAAATTGCAGCAATAAGAACGTAATCATAAAAAACGGTCGGTTATAAGGAATAAAGTAATAATACAATAATTACAAATTTAATGCGGTGTAAAAACTGATAATATGTCAGAAAATTACGTAGTCTTATCAGTAGATATTACGTAGTTCTTAAAATCGTTCTCTGCTGCTACTGATAAATAATTTCCCAATCCTTCTCGTTTCTATCACATATTTGTTTATAAAACCATCAAAATATATACAATGAGTTCAAAGTTTCTTAACGACATGGCCGAAGATTATAAACAACTTTATGAAACTAGGGAAAATTATGATGTGATTATTTACGCTGGTGAAGAACCTAATTCTGAAGAAATTCATGCTCATTCTTTGGTACTTCGTACTAGATCAACTTATTTTCGTGGGGCTCTTGCTTCTGATTGGGCAATAAAAGATAAAGATAAAGGTTGTTTTATTTTTAAAAAACCTAATATCTCTCCATCGATCTTTGAACTTATCCTTAAGTAAGTAGCAAAATAAATTATATTAATAGCTTATATTAAAAAAGAAACTAATAATTTTTTTGAATATTTAAATATCATAAACAGATTTCTATATTGTGGGGAAGTAGATATTCAAGATCAAGAAGGAGAAACGATCTTAGAGCTTTTGATTTCTTCGGATGAACTTGGCCTTACATCACTTATTGGTCATGTTCAACAATATTTTATTGCAAATCAGAAAAGCTTTTTACAACAAAATCCTGTAGGTATGCTTCATATGGCTGTTCGTCATGAAACGTTTAATGAAATTAGAGAGTTTGCTTTAGAAACTATTTGTGAAAACCCTGGAATTCTATTTGATTCAAGTAACAAATACCTTTCGTTAGATGAAGATGTTCTAATATTAATTCTTAATCATGATGGACTTGAAATGGAGGAGAGTGAAATTTGGGAACGATTAATCAAATGGGGAATTGCACAGAATAGAGAACTTAAGGGTGATGTGACTACAAGATGATTTTAAATTATTAGAGAAAACGTTACAAAGATGTGTTCATTATATTAGATTTCATGAAATTAACATGGCAGATTTTTATTATAAGGTATTACCATATAGGTCTATCATTCCAGATAACCTATTTAATGATGTTTTACGCTGTTACATGGTTCCGGATGCAGTACCTCTTTATAATGCATTTCCTCCTAGGCATAAAAAAATGGACTCAACCTTGATTGATATATCCCATGCTCGATTATTCGCAATGTGGATCGATAAAAAAAATGAACCTTATAAAGAGATGTTTCCTTACAAATTTGTTCTTTTATTCCGTGGCAGCAGAGATGGCTTTCAAAATAATAAGTTTCATCAACAATGTGATCAAAAAGGTGCAACGATTGTCGTGGCAAAAATGAAAAATTCAAGTGTACTTGTTGGCGGTTACACTCCAGCCGATTGGGATGTGAGTGGTCAATATAAATATTCAACCGATAGCTTTATCTTTTCATTAAATGATCCTACAAATATACCAAATGCAAACTTAGGACGCATTTCATCCTATGCTAACGCAACGCTTTGTAGTGTAACGGTTGTTTTTGGGAGAGCGAAGCGGTTATAGACAAATAGTGCCAATTTGAGACTCCAACCGTGTACGAAATTTGGGGTTTATATAAATAAAAGGAATATGAATCTGCCTTTAACTAATCAATCTTTAGATCGGAAGCGAACTTAGTATGATTTATAATATGATAATAACTAAAAATGCATACATGAAACTAAGAAAGAACATGAATTAAAATAATTCGGAAATGGGTTCAAGAAAGTTGATGATTGATTGATAATGATGTTTTGTAATAAATGACTTGATTCAAATACAAGACTTATAATAAATCGATCTTAAGAGCAACTATAGTATTAAAGTGATTGAAAGATGATAATTGACTTTAAAGTGATAAGTTATCACGATTCTGACCCTGATATTATAAAATCAGCTGATGCTGGTGATGCCAAAGGTGGCGGGGCGAAATACTTTACACGGTTCCAAATAAAACTTTTCTTGAGCGAGAGAACTTCCGTACAAAATCACGTGACCGAGTTCCAAAAACGTGATAAGACCGTTACACCAAATTTCGAGTCTTAATAAGCCGTATCGAGGTTACCAGCCGTTGAATTGAGTTACAAAATGGTTTATTAACGTTAAAGTCGAAATTTACAAGATAAGTATTTTACATTACTACTTAATTCAATTTATAAAAGACGTGGAACTTATTTGCCTTTATTAAAATGAGAGCTCTTATATACATTTTAGAGATTTACAACAAATGCACGAAATTTTCAATGTATTCGCTATAAAGTCTATGAAGTTGCAGAGACTTCAACGTACTCGCTGCTAACATTACGTGTTCGCTACTTCGATCGCGACTTCGCGGTTTTTACCACGTATTCAAAATTCATTTGATTTTCAGGCGTCTAAGCCACTAAGCCTCACCCAACTTCTTTTTTAGTATAACTAATTAAAATATTTACTTTATGGTTAATTAATAATATGCACAGGTATTGTTATCAAAATGGAATTAGTGGGGTAATATATATACATATGCGAAATGATACCGATAAAATATAGAATAAAATAATAAATAATAAAATAAAAGAAAATTGAACACAAGATTGATTTATGTACACAGTAACGAATATAATTCATTACAATATGGCATACAACACTTATACAGCATGCGATGCTTCTATTTATACAGCAAATACACCATATCGCTGTGATATTTTTGTTTGTTAGCTACGTACGTATGTATAGAGTTAATACTTTAATCCGGATATAAATATATCCGGATTGATATTTTGTTACAGCTGTTTTCATAAATTCCGGGACACCTAAAAATTTTTCCGTTTCCCGAAATCTTTTCGGTTTCGTCCAGTAAATTACCTAGTTCTCCGGAAACTACATTGCTGTTTCTGGACTGAAGGTTCGAAAATAGCGATATAGTTTCTAGAGAGCTAGATAATTTACTGGATAAAACCAAAAAGATTACGAGAAATGAGAAAATTTTTAGGTATCCCAAAATTTATGAAAACAGCTGTAAAAATTTATAGTAAAAAATAATAATTATATCCGGATACATCCGGATATAAAACCATAGTAAAGTATTAATGTACGTACAGTACGTACGTACTTCAAAATTCTAACTCTAATGCTAAAAATTGTTATGTGCCTCGTGAAACTATCGACCGCAGCCCTATAAAAAAAATCAAAAATTTTATTCAGATTTTGTTCAGATTATTATTTTTAAAATGTGTATTTTTGTAACAAAACTTAAACAAATTTCTTATAATTTCCTGAATATTTCTGATTTACTAGTAATAATTTTTTTCTATATAAAATTATAATCAGAAAATCAGAAATATTCAGAAAATTTAGAAATATTCAGGAATTTAAAAAGGCTTTATATAGATGTTTGTTACAAAAGATACCATTTTTAAAAATAATAATTTGAACAAAACTGAATATGATTTTTAATTTTTTTTTGTAAGGTTTTAACACTTAGCATATTTAACAACATATTTTATATACCAAAGCAGATCTCATAATTTAGAACATAATTTAACATGTTTAAGCATAATTGTATATATTGATGACAACTAAGAATTTCATATAAACAACTAACAATTATAAAACACAAATATAGTCTAGAGGAAAAATAGAAAGTAAAATGAAGTTTAGATTTCATAAAATATGCAGAATTTATAGCATAATTTTAATTCACAGCATAAATCCTAAAATTTATTGTGCAATAGAAGCAGATTTTTCATGAGTTATTGCAGCAGAGAAAGAGATGGCTTTAGTTTCGATAAATATAAAAGTTGTCAATCAAAACAAACTTTTTAATTAAACTTACTTTACAGAAACCTTGATTTTTTAAAAATATAAACAGCATATATTTAATATATAATAAAAGTTTTAGTAAGCTCTGTTAACTTACTTGTAAGAAACTTATTAATATTATAAACATATTATAAACATATTATAAATAATTTAATATATTTATTATAGGACTA